GGTTGGACTGGATGATCTCTAGAGGTCCCTTCCAACCTCAACTACTCTKCAATTCTGTGACCTTCTCCAGGCAGGTTTCAGTATCTCCAAGAATGGAGGCCTTAAGGTGTAAATAACTTTCTCTTTTCTTTCTACTAGAATCCTCAGTTTTTACAGTTAATCTCAAAAAAGAAGTCATTGGCAGGAGCAGCCCAAATCCTATTGAAAGGAGCGGAAAGGTTATCGAAATCAGTGGCAGAAAACCAGGAAAATAAACGACAAAGGGACTTCAACTCAGAGCTGCTGAGGCTGAGACAGCACTGGAAACTGAGAAAAGTGGGAGACAAAATTCTTGGCGACCTCAGCTACAGAAGTGCAGGTATATAGCRGTATTTTTCTTCACTAGTTAATATTTTTGCCTTAATAACCTATTTTGATAACTTAAACACAATTGAAACAAGCTCGCTTAATATAGATAACAAAAAGGTTGTGATAATTATAGTTATGAGAAGAGGAAGAGAACGTCTTTTATGAACCCRTGAAAGCTAATTAAAAGGCCAAACACGTATTATGTTAATAAAGATACTGTTAAGGAGCAGTTCTACATCGGTGATGGGGTTGATCAGTCAACGGGCAGATCTTGTCAAGCATTGGCTTTTTCCATGTTTAGCCTATAAAAATTTTTTATAAAAAGTACTTTTTTTTTTCCCTCTGATTGAAGGCACAAATTCAGTATTCTAAATTGTGCACTGTTAGCAATTGATGCTGGCCTTGCTACAACATTACCAAGTGTTTTACAGTAGGACGAAATAACCCACCCAGAATTCGGAGGCTAGGTACAGAACACAGCACCGGATACAAAATCTCACCCAAATTAGCAGGTGGATACAGTGCAGGCGTGTGAAGTGGCCTATGCCGGGATCCTGTTGGTGGAGGAGGGAAAGACAATTTAGGCTGTTAACCCCTTTTGTGTTAAAGAAGATGTTGTAGCCTGACATGTCCCCTTTTTTTAGAYTATCATTCTGAACTAGATGAGCTATGGGAAAGGGAGGCATCTAGGTCGGGTGTAAGTATCTGTTTCTGGCACCCCCAAAGGAGTTAAAGCKTTACCACAGTACAACAAACATAAGCAGATGACTTCAAATCACTACATATGTAAACTATGTATTCCTTTAGCTGCCCGCTGATCAAAATTCAGGCACTAAACAATTTTGKTTTTTTTAAACCAAGGAAGTTTCCTTCTCTGCATCTGCTGGCATAATTTTAAAACRCTGTTTTTGTTCTGCAGTTAGGCTATTTGCTGACTTTCCTACATAATATTGCACACTGGAAGATACAGAAGATGCTGCACTGAGCAGAGTTTTCTTATTTACATATATCTTTTTTAAAAGTAATTCAAGTGATATTAATATCTTATGCAATCTGTGAAAATTTGGAGACTTACATATTCTTCTGAAACTAAGAATATATTTATGGGCTTCCTCATTTGCAGAAGATACTATGTGGTTCTCTATATGTATTTTYTTCTCTTACCAGGTTCCCTTTTCCTTCATCACGGCACCTTTGAGGTGATAAAGAACACTGACATTGACCTGGATAAAAAGATACCTGAGGATTACTGTCCTCTGGATGTTCAAATCCCAAGTGATTTGGAGGGATCAGCCTACATAAAGGTTCGTTAGGGACGTTAGTGATGTGGTGTGTTTGCTATTTGTACACTTGRGATGAAGAACAAACAGCAAATAACCTCCTCTTTCTCAGGTTTCTATTCAGAAACAAGCTCCAGACATTGGTGACCTTGGGACAGTTAATCTCTTTAAAAGACCCATGCCAAAATCAAAACCAGGTACGGCTCTATGTTGTCCTCAGTGTTTCATAYGCATTTACTGCATTTTTAAAATAAAATTCTTAAAATTGTATCCAAGTACTCTGGAGTACTTTCTGCTAGTCGTTAAACCCTTGAGCACATAGCTGGAAGTAAAGCCGGTTCCTTTGGTTCAGTCAGTTACATCCCATTAGCTCAATTGAACTGATTGACCACCTGCTCGCTCTTCATCCTCTCCAAAAGGCATCGTTTTTTTGCTGGAGCTCATGTTTTTTCTCTGAATTTGAGGTTGTGCTGGCAGCACAATCACAGACTACAACAGCTCACCTGGCACAGAGTAGCTTGGTTCTTTTGAAACAAGCTGCTATGCAAAGTTGTTATTTTGGGGATTATGAACTAATGCATAACTGTTTAGGATTGAAAAGAACTTGATTCTGGCAGGATTTTATTTCACAGTGGTCTGTGACTGCAGTTGCTTGTGCTGTCTTGAAAACGGAGAGGGTGCTGTGCTGTGTAGATGTTTTACACGACTTTCAGGGTACAATGTAGAGCTTGTGTGTTTATTCAGAGCAGAATTTTCCGGAATTTTGCCATATGACAGCAGGGGATTCTATAAGCAGCATTCACAAAATTTTTTGAGAATATAATATGCCTTCCAGGAGGCAGTACCAGTTCACAATATATGCAGATGTAAAATTTACTGATTTTTTTGTTTGTTTTTTAATTATTCCTAACTGAGATAAAAATGTAAAGGTTCAGTTGGTTAGAAGATGCCAACAGGCTTGTTATTGTAACTGGTCTGTTAGTTTGATGCCCTATAATAACTGCCTAGGGCCTGACATTTGGAGAGAGGGAAGGAAAAGTAGCTTCTCCTCATTCTTCTGATAAAAAAATGATTTAAATTTTTCAGGTTCTCCACACTGGCAGACAAAATTGGAGACTGCACAGAATGTTCTCTTATGTAAAGAAATTTTTGCCCAGCTATCACGAGAAGCTGTTCAAATTAAATCACAAATTCCTCACATTGTTGTGAAGAATCAAATCATCTCCCAGCCTTTCCCAGGTAGGAGCTTTTAATGAAAAGTATTCTTGCCCTAAAAAGATGGATGCAGAGGATTCTGATATATGTCACTCTTTAAGGAAAGAGTGTAAATCTCCTTTCTCTTCAGAATTGTTGAAAAACAGGATCTCCCTGAATTCTGTGTTTTTTCCAAGTAGTTATACAAAAATCAAACTAAGGCACTTTATTTCCCAATTTATTATTACTATTTAATTGTTCCATGGATTTTGTGATTTTTTTTTTTTTTTAGTAGTAGTAGTATTTAAAGTTGTCAGCTGCAATGCTTTGTGCAGACTGCAGTTTGTAGCTCTGCAGAAGTCATTGCCCCTGAACTGCATGCAGAGAAAACTTCAGATTTGATTTGGGTTAATGGACTTTCAGAAGATCTAAGGCCCACACTTTTCCATGGTTTAATAACGTAAAGGCAGCTCAGAGCTGTCTGGTAAATCCTCTGTTCCTACAAGGGATTTCCAAGCAGGATGTCATATAAATAATATATTCCTGTATTTCTGAATCTATATATGGTAGTAAATCAATCCTCCTGTRTATTATCGTGGGGCTCATTTTTTGTGTGATTGAGTCAGAGAGATCAGATGTGAAATACGTCTGATAAGTTAGCAGTTGCTTTGTCAACCCTTCAGGGAACAGCAAGTCTTAGCTGTTCTTAGTGCTGTGTTCTCAGACATCATCCTTGAATTTGAACCCATGAATACAGTTAGAAAACCAATGTCTCTAAAAGGGTAAGGAAGACCTTCATGATGGTCTGTTGAAAATGGTCRTTTTTTCTTCACTTGTTGTACGCAGGTTTGCAGTTGTCAATTTCTTTATGTCACTCCTCCAATGACAAAAAATCACAGAAATCTGCTTCTGAAAATCAGAGTGCAGAGGATCATCTCTATGTTCTRGAGCACAATTTACATCAGCTTATCAGAGAGGTAAGGCATTTATGGTGAGATGCTGAAGAGRTGTGCTCTTTTTTTGTTTGTTTTTTGGGGTGTTTCGGTTTAGTTTGGTTTAGCTCAGAATGTCACRCGTCCCGTGACAGTGCTACAACAACCGAATACCACCAGAGGTCAGTCGATTCCTTTCTGTTTGTGTCACATATGGTTGACTTCTGATATGTAYGAGAGTGATGAGAGTCCCAGGCGTGCTGCCATGGAATATGAGTTTGGGGCTTAAGCTCAGACCCAGCTGCTGCTTCAGAAGAGCAGCCATTTGATGGTCTTTTTTTCAGTACAACTCATTAGTCTCCTTTTTTCGTTTGTGTYTAATTACTGCTTGTCACTTAAAGTGAGCGTCACTCAGACCGTGCTCCCATGAGGAACGAACAATCGGTTATCRTAATAACTTGCTTCATTTGAGGTCCACTGCTGCTCTTCAGGATTTTAGATTTTCTTATGATCTTCTTTTAAGCTAGTGGAAGGATGTGAGTGGTGTAGAAGATTGTGAGGTTGCATCTATYAGGGAAGGGAATTCAAGGGAATTCAATATCATATGTAGATGTGGTTGTGAAACCGTGTTCTAGAGAGCATTTCTCTCCCTAGAAGATGGTTCCACAGGTTGCACAGTCGGGAGAAGAGTCCAATAGTTTAGACACTGAAGGATTCATGAGTTGTTGGCTTAATACTCAGCTCTGCTGCAAGTTTCCCCTCATAATTTTGAACGTAATTTTGCTGAATCTTCTTGCAACTAATTTTTAATCTCTAAAGTGCTTCCTTTATTTTTGACCAGCATGTCGGTCTACAAAGATTCCCTAAAGCTGTGGGATATGTAGGAGTCACGTGGCCAAATTTTTGTTGCCTTKCACTTTGTAGTTCTGCTTTTAATATCTTCCTCTTTGCATTAAGTTTTGAAAGACCCAAATCAACCCAAATAAGCAAAATCTTGAGTTTAAAATTAGCTTATAAAGTGCTGTCAAATGCATAAAGCAAAAAAAAAAAAAAAAGCACTTTTTTGAAATATTTAGTGTGTGAAGCTATTTATTGTAGTTACCTGTTAGTTTTGAAGATTTTTCTTATCATTTGGTCGCTGTCTCTCGTAACAGTTGTTGTTTGTTGCAGTGTCACAAGCAAACTCTGAGCTCCACAGTGATGCCCCATCCGGCCAGTGCCCCCTTTGGCCATAAGCGAATGAGACTAGCAGGACCCCAGGCATTCGATAAAAACGAGATCAGTTCTTTACAGTCAAATGAAGGACTTCTGGAAAAGATAATAAAACAGGCAAAACATATCTTTTTGAGATGCAGGTATGTCACACGTCGTTGTCTCCCGATTGCAATGCAATATATCATGGTGCAGACTGCAATTGATTGGGTTTTCTTTCAGTGTTAAAAAATGTCTGCTTTTCTTTTTGCTTTACTGTTAAAATAGTGTTCATTTTTAGGTGTTGAGAGTCAATAGCATATCCAGTATGTGCAAATAACAACCAACTAGTATAAAAAGCATAGACTGCTGTCTATACTCTTCTTAAGGAACTATATAAATCTGTTTTAATATTCTCTGCTGTGCAGTATTGGAGGAAAATCTAATAGCCAGTACTAAATTATGTAGTTTTAAGACTTCTGTTTGATGCATAGGGAAAGGAATAAACAAGTGTGCTTTACTTGCAGTTCAGATGCTCAAATAGACCTCTAATGTACAYGATTCTGTAAAATTTGGATTTTTAATTTACTCATTTTCTTTAAGCACAATCTGTCTAGCCTATTGTGGGCTGAATATGTCTTTCTGTTCTAGAACTGCTCGAACCATTGACAGTCTGGCCAGTCGGATTGAGGATCCTCAGATTCAGGCTCATTGGTCAAATATAAATGACGTTTATGAATCCAGYGTTAAAGTTCTAATAACTTCTCAAGGATATGAGCAGATATGCAAGTAAGTGTGAAAGTGCATGTATTTTTCCACTTGTAGAGGCTTGCTTTTTGACAAGAGTGACTGAGTATATTAAAGTTGATTTTTACAGGCTTAGATCCAGCTTCAGACAGACCACTCTAAGTGCCTTGTTTGTGTGTGAGGGTTTATTAGAAGATGGTGTGATTTAAAAGTAGGATTTACCTGTGAACGCTGCTCTCTGCATGGCAGGGAGAACAGCTGCCAACAGAAAGCTCTTCACCCACTTTGGGACACATTTAATGAAGAAACTTATTAAGTAGTTAACCAGAGCAGCTGTATGTGGTGATGGTGGTGGTTGTGTTTTCTCCAGAGAAGGAGTCAAAGCTGAAAGTGGTTGTTTAAAGGGGATTACTTCAGAGTGAGACATCTGGGTTTAAAGTACCTTTGGATCTGCTGGATTCTAAGCTTCCAACCTATTTATGAAGAGCTAGTCAATGTTCTGTCCTAGTTTGATTACACAGGCACTAAAACTTGAAACTAGTTGGAATTCTTGCTATTAATTAGGCACACTGCCATTGAAATAGGAGACTTCATGTTCTAGAAACAGGAATGGCTCTACCCTGACTGCCAGTGAAACAGCTAATGTGCAGCAGCGGATGCACTGGCTGCTTCAGCTTCATCTTTCCACTCCGAGCATCCTCTTTTGGCTCTTGCTTCCCAGTGGAACAGATGTGTTCATGGCTGCAGTTTCCAGGCTCAGGCCCAGAGTATGCATGGTGGCCAAGTCTTGGCTGCAGAGTAGAACCAGCCCTGGATTTGCATCATTTTCCCATGTACCTCTGAAGGGAAACTGGTCTTACTGGCAAGGAAGAAGTTGTGAGGCACTTGAGCAAGTGAAGCAAGCAGTGTGCTGAGCCTTGGACCTGCCACGCAGTGCCCCAGCCCTGCAGTAGAGAGGGAGCTGCTGCAGTGAGGGATGGACTGAAATGTTGCTTGGTGTCACTGGGTGACACTTCATTTTGATGTTCTCACCAGTTAATGGGATTCTGGCTTCTCAGAGCAAGGTACCTGTTTTCTTAAGTGCTTTTACACATTTYCTGTAAGTCTGCTTCTTGTCTTCAAAGATCCATCCAGCTACAGCTGAACATCGGAGTTGACCAGATCAGGGTAGTGCACAGAGATGGAAGAGTTATTACATTGTCCCATCAAGAGCAAGAACTGCAGGATTTCCTTTTATCTCAGGTAGATTCTTATATGTTCTTCCCTTTGTGATCATGTTTCAGGGAACAGGAGTTACATTCAAGAACTTAGAATCTTCCTTATATCTCTGTAGAAAATGTCAGAAAACTTCAAATAAAAATACTGCCAATAGGAAGGTGGATGACTGAATTTCTTGGTCCATTTATATAATCACATTAACAACTAGTACTGAAACATAGTACCATTTTTTTTTTAAGGTCAGGAGTGTGAATTGGGAGCTTTCYCCTTATTAATGGAAAATGTATTTCCATTTAAAGTGCATTTGTTTGTGCTACTCGTCATGGGAGCACCAAGATTTTTGCTGACTTCAGAACAGGTCAGAGTCATAGCAGACAGTGAGATTTTCATGTATGGAATTGTTATAGCCCAATCCTACCTGGAGCAGAGATCTAAACTGGCCCGGGATTGTTCTCATTTCAGTGTTGTCATATTAATGCTCCCTTCGCATGAGCCACGACTACACCAGTCGATACTCAGATGCTGGTTTTGTTAGACGTGACAGTCTCCCTAACGTGTGTTATAAAGGGTCAAAAAGCAGCTCCTTGGTAACTGCCCTGCTGCTGTTGTGTGAAACAAACTCACACRCACAAAAGGTTGAACCTGGTTCTTCTGAGGGTGTCACTTTGATAAGTATTTTCAGGCTTGTTCTTGGAGAATCACTTGTCTGAACAAAGTTGTTCTTTGACAGAAGCCTTAGATCTTGACAAAGTAAAATATTAGCACTTAGAAACTCTGCAGTGCTCGCCCTTGAACACACCTTGGGGGTATCTTGCCTCTGAGAGCCTCAGCTTGGATTTTTCTGAATTTGCAGATTTATTATATAAGTATTTCAAATTAATTTTTTTTTTTTAATAAAGAGCATAAACACTTTTATAAGTAATTACTGGCAGTAGAAAAGATGGGTAAAAGTAACATGTAATTCAAGATAAACCTCTGTTGTCTTTCAGATGTCACAGCACCAGGTACATGCAGTTCAGCAGCTGGCAAAAGTTATGGGGTGGCACGTGCTGAGTTTCAGCAACCACGTTGGCCTGGGGCCAGTGGAGAGTATTGGCAACGCCTCAGCAATAACCGTGGCCTCACCAAACGGAGACTATGCCATTTCAGGTATACACACATACATGTATTATATACATTTTTTTAATTAAAAAAAAATTTATAAATAAAAAAGAGAAGTTAGCAATATGCCCAAGATGAGAATTGTCAAAAAAAAAATACTGGAGTTCTTGACATAACTGGGGAAAAAAAATAATATATTAGGGGGTTGTGGGTGTTTTTGTTTGTTTTTATCATATTTTAATTTCTCTGATTTGTTCTAACCAAGAGCATGCAGTGCTAAAGCAACAAGAGCCATGGGGCAGTGGGGGCAATCAGAGAGAGCAAATACAAAGATGAATTTTAAAAACCATCCTGTGTAAAGAGAACTTCCCTTGTTTGCTTGCAGCATGGCTGTAGTTGGCTAGAGAGTAATGTACAGGGCACATGATGAACAACATATGATAGGAGGAATTGTTCAAGTATAAAGTGCTCTTAAATCTCTGTTCATCCCAGTGCGGAATGGTCCCGAGAGTGGCAGCAAAGTCATGGTGCAGTTTCCCCGGAGTCAGTGCAAGGACCTCCCCAAGGGGGACGTGCTGCAGGACAACAAATGGAACCATCTCCGGGGGCCCTTCAAGGAAGTGCAGTGGAATAAAATGGAAGGTCGCAACTTTGTCTATAAGATGGAGCTGCTCATGGCTGCCCTGACTCCCTGCTAACAACCCAGCAGCTTCTCCAMGGGCCTTTAAGTTGCTGCTACTGCGGGATCACTGCCAGTGTAAGAAAGGGAAATGGAATCTATAGGGCAACGCAAGAAGGAAAAATAATTTCTTGTACAGTTCTGTCTATTGTAATGTTTATAATAAAATGTTCTTGATAGCATGCAAAGTACGACTTCTCAAAAAAGTTCCTTTCAGTTCAAGTTTAAAAACAACCTGACTTAGTTCACTGCTTCACCTAGAGTTCAAAGGGTAACAGAATTGTGTCTTTGGAGATGGCTCTGTGTCTGTCTGGAGTAGCATCACACCTGAGTGATTCCTGCAACTTGCTTCTGTCAAGTCAGATTTCGTAGTCCTTTGCKGCATGAAAGATATTATTTCCCCCTAAGCTCTCTTAAGTAGATCTTTGCAGGCATCTCTGAGAGATTATTAGAATTGAGTTGTGCTGTAGATAAGCTCTGGGTGACTTCTCTTGTAGGGAATGGCCATCTTGGAAGACTTCTTTTGATTTACAAGTGGAATAAAGGAGGAGAAACAAAGCACCTTATTAAATGATAGAGTTAAAAATAAGATTCAAGCACCAAGTCTGTGTGTGATACCTTCACTTGGGGATTGTGCTAACTGGATTGGTGGCTTCTCGGTCATCCACTCTGGTTTTTTTTTCCTTTGAGAGAAGTTTCTAATTAATGATGTGAGAGAGCTGCAAAGTTGCAGCTTGTGACAAGTTCCCTACTGCTGGTGGCCACAGAGGAGCCCTAGGTGGTGTCAGCTACTTTGGTTGAGATTTCGGCCTGCCTTTCTCATTAGAAAGAAGGGTCTCTCTCCACTTACAGAGTTCCCCTGACAATTAGAATTTGTGGGTAATTTTTTGTGGGTAATGACTGGGAGAAGCTGGGAACTAGCTGTACCTTGTGGATCACTACATTCCTGCATTTCCTTTTTTCCACCCTGGCGTACTGATCATTATCCAGGACGTCTTTTGAGTTCTTAAAATAGCAAGAAAGTAATGTGACTTTTTTGGTTTTAATTGTAGCTGCCTTGTAGTTTCGGCATTACACAAAGCTCTTCTTTTCTYTGTCAATTAATTGCTAAAGATCCTTTTGAAACCCGTCTGTTGAACTGGTTTCGAATTATATTCATATTATGTATTTATAAGGGGTGGGTGGGTGTGTAAATGAGAACATGTTACATTTGGCAGAGCAGGTTTGAATTGAACCATCCTGTTTCTGTGGTGCAAGAACTCTGTTCCTCAGCAATAAAGAATAGCTACAGGAAACGTGTGTATTGAGCAGCTCTGTGTGGTGAGCTGCTGTTGCGCGGAGCGTGCTGGAAGCAGCCGCTGTGCATGTGGTGGCACTTGCCAGTGTGGAAGAGATGGTGGTTTCAGTTCCTTGCAGTACTCGCTCTGCCTCACCGAGCTGCGGGAGAGAAAAGCTTCGTCACTCGGCTTCTCAGAAATTGTCTTGGATAACTCCTGAAGATGAAAAATGCAGTGGAAAAGTGTCCGTGTCTTATCTTCTTGAAAGAGGAGTGAATCCCGTGTCGCAGGGATGGTTGCAGCACTGGAGGATGACCCCGGAGCTCGCGTGTGTGTCTGGCTCCAATGGGCCTGTGGGGCCTCTGGCAGCCCCAGTCTCTCCCTCAGAGGACGAGTTTGTAAAACCTGAAAGGTGTCTTCGTACTTCASGTGCCTTCGCTGAAACAACCCTGCGCACGGCAGCTTCCTTCCTGCCAGAGGAGCCAATATGAACACCCAGGGGCTGTTTCAGGTGGCCACAGCTGGAGACTGTGTCCAGTTCTGGGCTCCCCAGTRCAAGAGGGATGTGGAGCTGCTGGAGAGAGTCCAGCGCAGGGCTACGAGGATGATCAGGGGCCCGGAACATCTGCCCTATGAGCAAAGGCTGAGGGAGCTGGGCCTGTTCAGCCTGGAGAAGAGRAGGCTGAGGGGGGACCTGATCAGCGTGTATAAATACCTCAAGGGAGGGAGGGAGGAGGAGGGGCCGGTCTCTTTTCAGTGGTGGACAGCGACAGGACTAGAGGAAACGGCCGCAAATTGAAGCACCAGAAGTTCTACAGGAACTTAAGGAAAAATGTCTTGCCAGTGAGGGTGCCAGAGCCCTGGAACAGGCTGCCCAGGGAGGTTGTGGAGTCTCCTCTGGAGATCTTTAAAACCCGCTTGGATGTCGCCCTGTGCCCCGTGCTCTGGGTGTCCYTGCGTGAGCAGGGGTTTGCACTAGATCTCTAGAGGTCTCTTCCAACCATAAGCATTCTATGACTATGATTCTGTGATTCAGAGCATAGGGTTTGTCCCTTTGGGMAGGCTAATGGAAGCGAGGGGAACACGTCCCCGCTGCCGCAGGTGCAGCACCAAGGAGCAGTGAAGTCGCTCCTCAAGATTTTCAGGCTTGGATGCAAAAGATGAACATTGTAAAACACGACTAGAGACCTTGGGAGTCTGCCTTTTAAAAGGGAGAATTCCGGTGTGTTTGATGCTAATGGAAAATCAACTGAATATTAGACTCCTCRTTTGAGAGAAAGAATCTTGAAATTCTTGGTAATGTGTCCTTAAACTTGTGAAATGGAGCCATTAATGGATGATTAAGACCTTCATATTGATTGCCAAAGCAATCCTGTGAACCTGGACATCTGTTTAATTAAAAAGCATAAATGCAAAATGCTCTAATCCCTTTGATCACTTGGAGTGCTCTAAATATTGACTTTTGCTGCTGTTCTGCATGGAGCTTATGAGGGGAGTAAGAATTACTAATTTCTAAAACTTCAACCTTAACAGCTTGCCATAAAATTTAAGGTATTTGTCACCTGCCCTCTAGCAAGAGATTTGACTGCCAACTGCTTAACCTTATAGAGTTTGTTTTTTGTTATTAATGCATATTGAAAAAAAATCAAATTCACAAAACCCTAATATTTTATAAGTGACCTTACCTACATAGCGTAAGTGTGTAAAATTTAGTTACAATAAAGCTTGTAGCCAATACCCATGAGAAAAGTAGCACAAAAACTCCGTGTTTACACCGAATGTTCTTTGAATCCCTGTGGTTTGCCTAGGATGTTGTGACCTGGAAGCAAGACTGGTTTCAACCAAGACTGGATGCCTGAGATTGCTGTATTTTTAGTCAGGCTGAGAGAGTTTGCTAGCTGAAGGCTTCTTTCTGCTGTTAGATTTTATCTCTAAATATGAGAATTTTAAGTGGCCATTTACCACTTTCATCCTGACTTCCAATTACTGCAGAGATCACTTAAATCCACCCTTCCAGCCAAGCTTTCAAAGGTCATTGAAGCCTGTGTACAGTTCATGACTTCTTCTCTTGACAATTACGAGTACTCAAGTAGATGCTAGCAGATAACAGCAGTGTTGCCTTCAAGCAGCACCTTTCCTGGCTTTTAAATACATCTGGCAGCGCCTGTGCTCTGTATTCAGCCTAATGAATAGCTTCACATTCAACTTTTAAGATTTAGAGATTAAAAAAAACACACACAAAAAAAAAAGCTAGTAAAATAGATGCACAGAAAAAAAAATCTTTCGTAGTATCCATGTACGATATGGATATCCTATAAAGTATTTTCAGCTTTGGTGATGAAAATAGACACCTTCCCAGCTCCTTTGGTGTCACCAAGGCTTAATTCCCTCGCATGTACAAAGACTGCCCATATACCTGAAGTGAGGAGCAGGAACAAGTGGCTCTTTGCCGAGCTGTAGCTGGGCTTGTCCTGCAGTTTGTCGCTCATTCTGACCTCTTCTAGATGTGGGAAAGCGCAACCAGCTCCACCTGGYGCTCACCTGATGAGTGGCCTTTGCTCTGCTACTGGCCAGTTCACTTGTGGACTAATTTATAAAGGTATCGAGTGCACTGGGCACTTAGGTGCCAAGTAGTTTTTTTCCTATCAACGGTGTTAGGCACCTAGTGAGAATTTCTTTGTTCTGCTGTGTGTAGCCCGTCTGCACCTGACTGCTCCCTGGCCAGGGCAGCACTAAGCCAGCTCGGCTTGTAAAAGCTTTAATGAGAAGTTGAAGTGGGGGAGAGGCCGCAGGAGCGGTTGGGCTCCGGGAGCTCTGTGGCTGTTTGCAGCTGCAGAAGAATCCCCAGGCTCTTCCAAAGCTCAGCCCACACGGCAGTTCTGCTCTGTGCAAAACAGGATCCCTGTTTTCAGCTTGGTGCGTTTAGTGCTTTCRTGCTCACAAAAGCAAATGTTATTCCAGCCAACTGATATGCGTGTGGAAAAYGCAAGTGCAACACACAGCCTTAAAAAGAAATGCTGGTTAAATCACTCTGTTTCCTTACTCATTAAAAAAGCAAACACGGCTTCTCGCAGCAAGAGTGATTTCAGGGCTGTAACTGTAAGTACTAAATGTCAAAATAATGCTATGTTGACCTCTCTTACCAGACAGCCTGTTCTTCAGCCCGCTAAGTTTCAAAGAACTCAACGTTTTTCACAATAAAACAGTTTATTATTCTCCCACCCCCGTGGTAGGGTGCGTCAGTGTTTTATCAGGACAATCTAAGCACTACAGGCACCGTCGTCTTTGGTACCTCTGCATGGTTCCTTATTGAATTACCTTCCCTAATAAAGTCATAAAATGTGTGTTAACATCCCTGAGCAACGTAAATAATCGAAAAAGTGAGTGAGGGAACTTTGACCAGCTCGGTGTTATTTCAAAGTCAATTTTGCCTCGTGAAGAGCTGCTGTTTGCCTTCAGAGCTTCGGGATTATGCCCCAGAGTAGCAGCCTATGCACAATAAACAGGACTCTATCCTTGACTTCTTTTTTGTTTAATGTAGTACTGTAATTAGATATTAAATTTATTACATTGAAGCATGCTAATTATCATTCTCTAATAGATGACTTGCCATAGCCAAAATACAGATGTCCTTCAAGACCATGATAATTTCCATTACGCTTTGGTACTAGAGGCATGGTTGGTTGCTCTAAACATAGTAGAGGCTGTAGATTTTATTAATTAACCACAAAAACGTGCTTGTCCTCAGCCACAAAAGCATGCTCTCTTTCACTTTAACCTTGACTAGTAAAGCCAGACTCTTAACAGGTAACAACAGCTCCATCAGACACTGCTGATTTCACATTAATTAACTCTGCAAGTCAGGATGTTTCTATAATAGTCACAAACACTTTACCTTTTAGCTTTCTTCCCGCTTTCCTTGCCAATATTTTCTCCTGAGGTAGAATTGTTATTTTTGTTATGAAAAGGTTCTTGGCTAACACTCAATGGTTTCCAGTTCAATCTCTTCAGTGTTACTTGCTGCAAATGAAAGGATAATTCTATTGATTGTCAAGTGGATTGGCAATTGGATTCCAAAATAGTGTGTAAATAGCAGAGTCACTGTAAACATCTTAGTGTTTGTCCAAATTCAGCCATTAAAATTACAGAACAACTGTAGTATTTTTAAATGAGACACCTTTTCAAAACATATAACTGTATACAGAGTCCATCACCATCCTTAAAGACACTTGTTTCTTCAAGGACAAGACTAGGGACATCATCAAAACTAATCTGAAGTCTGTAGGGATGATTTTTTTTCCTTTCTTCAGTGGCCATTGAAAGACTCTTCTAACTTGACTTTGTTCTTGTCTTTGACTTAGACAAGAGTCTAAAGGCTCTTGAAGGACCTGATTTGAATCATGTTCTGGTCGTCTATAGAGGAAGTCTCCAGAACTGCACTACTCTGAAAGGCTGCCCAACAGCTGCATTTGATTGAAACTAAGTAAAACTCTGCTTCTGTAGGAACATTGGCTTAACTTGTTCAGGAGACTCTTTACATGAGCAGAAGCCTGGGGATCTGTCATGGCATGAAAATTTTCAGTAGTTACAGAGACGTGGGAACCATGTGCACGCTCTGAGCACTTCAACAGCCATGAGAGCTGGAGCAGCAGGTGACATATAGGAAGAGACAGCCTAAGCCAAGTTCATTTCTCCTCGTCACTTCTGCAGAGTTAGGAAAGAGTCTGAGCCCCAAGACTTAGGATTTTTGGAATATCTGTGTTGGTTTGGAAAAACATGGGTAATTCATCTGCTTCTTGTAACAGCTAAGCAGAGCTTTGGGAGAAGAAATACAGACAAGGGCAAGAAACTACTAGTGAATCTGCACTTAAAAAAAAGCAGGTAAATGCCTGCAATGCTTGGAAGTGGTAAAAGTAAATGGAAGTAAATGCCTGAAATGCTTGGAAGTGGGAAAAGGCATCTCCCAATCCCAGGAGGAAGTATGATGTCTAGAGCTTGAGCTGGGCATTGTAGATCTGGCCTTTTCTCCCCAAATTTTGCAGTTAGTGATGGGAAGTCAGTTTGGTAAAGTTTTTTTTTTTTTTTTTTTTTTTTAATTTTTGAGGTCTCTGATGTGAAATAAGTAGGGCTGATGTCCTGAGGATTTTTCTGGACTGAATACTCAGCTGAGCCCTTCTAGCCTTGTCTCTTTGTGTCACTGCTTAGCACTTTTGAGGCTCTAACCTTAAGTGAAAGACTTTAAAATTCAGACCAGAAACCCCACAGCCTTGACAGAAATCTTAGGGAGATACCTGTTAGTTTGTGTGTCTTCTTCTGGAAGAGATGCAGGGATTTGTTACACAGCCACATGAAGCAGATCAAAATGGCAGATACGCCAGTGAGAAATGCAAAGAAAACTGCTACAAAATGTAAATCTTCATATATAATCTCTGCAGGGAGGACAGAAAAAATAATATTATAAATATTAAAGCAGAACYAAGTTTAAACACAGGGTAAAAGCAAACACTGAAAACACGCTATCTAGCTCATACCATAAACATTGAGTACGATGGTCCCGTATATGTTGGTTCCATGCTCCTCTGTCACAGTGACAAAATAGTAGCCAGCATCTCTCACGCCCACGTTCAGAAGCTGTATAGAGCCATTTTCAAAAATAGTCACTCTGTCCTTGTAGCCTGTGGATATGTTAACATAATTCCCACTTTTCCACTCGGCAATTTTGGTGGTGCCCCGGCTGGACACATGCTTCCACTCAATGGTGGCGACTCCTCTGCAGGAGTAGTCGACCGAGAGGAGGATGTTTTGTGCCACCGTTGCGTTGATGTTGGGCTGCGGGACAAGCAAGGACACTCCTTTGGGGGCTGAAAGACAAAGGAGGGCAGTGAGTGTGGAGGTGACATTGCAGCAAGTGTCGGGTGTGATCGGCCGTGACGTGATGGGTTGTGTCCAGCCCCTTGGCAAATGTGGGGCTGCATGGGACAAACACRAGCTCCCCACATAGACTCTGTAATCACCAACACAACCTTCTCTTGACAACACAGGAGCTAGATATGAGCTAAGGCTGGTGTTTATCTACTTCAGTACTGGCTTTCATAAAGTTATGCATTATGCCTAGTCTGAAAATTAGGAGGGGATTTCTCTTTAGTGCGGGGGAACATCCCACTGAGGGGGTGAATCACCCCGTCCGTCGCAGCAGTGAGTCTTAGGAGAAGATGTGTTATCCTCTCCGCCTCTCTCCGGCCCGTAGAAGGCACACACATACCTAGCTTAAAAACTAGGAGCACAATTCATTTGGTTACAGCAAAGAGAAATGTTTCTGCCATACAGGTACATGCTCCAGACTACCCAAGAGAAGATGGTTTGGAAGAGTCTTCTGGGGGGAAGAAGAGGCAACATTTTCCAAAAACTCTGACCTTGAATATATCTCAAATTGAGATCCAAAAATCATCACTTGCTTTCATAAATCTTGTCTTTAACACATTTGCTTTGTCACTTAAAATGAAGATCCCTGCTGCTGGTACCCCCTGTCACGCACCCAGCTCCTTCCTCAGGGGCAGGCACGTCGTCTGTCGTGGGCAGCCCTCACCTCCCATCTCTCCCACCCAGCTTTACCCAAAGTCGCGACGTTTCATGGTGATTTGTGTACAACTTAATTGCCAGGCAGCTAGAAAATGTAATAATCTGGAGATGGATCTTAAATTTCTGGAAGTCAATTATAACATTCTGATTTCTGTGGACTTCAGAGAGGCTCTCTCATAAAAAAATATATATATTGAAGAAATATGCTCATATAAAACTTCATTTATTGGCAGATTAAGAACTGTGCAGATAAATATGCATCTTTTGTATTCATGCGTAATTGGCTTTTCTTTGAAATCCTGCATTTAAATTGCAAGCTTAATTGCCCCGGCCAAGGTAATCTGTTATGTTAATGGATGTCCACCCTCAAAATCAAGGACTGCWGCAGCCTTAAGTATGTGAAGGTCAGGCGAGGAGCTCAGGCTGATTTCAGGATGAGGGAGGCATAGCCAACTGCTGGTGATACCAAATGGATTGTAAATTAGTAATAATGTGGAATCAGTCATTTGAGACGGCAGCAAAATGCAAGGGAAGTAAAAGCAGCCAGTTACGCTCCAGAGCAGATACACTGCAGATAAATCACAGATTTATTGTGCCCAGTTTCATATTAAGATAGGGACTCATTTCCCAAGGCAAGAACAGATGCAAAAGAATATTTTATTCTCCTACASTTCCGAGAGATGTGATTAGGGAGCTGTTTGTAACCCTGTTGACCTGGRCTAACCAGCGTTTAATGCAGTTTAATATGTAACTGCAATAATTCTGCTTACATGTATATGTGTGTGGGGAGGCTGGGTGCACACCGAACATCCCAGTTTCGGTGGGTGTACCCATTTTTCAAGCCAGTGGCCTGTTTGAGAGGCTTGGCTGGAGACTGAAATGCAGTTATCTGCCCATGGAAATCAAAACAGACAGGGCCAGATAAAGCACAGAGCTCGCGGCACCTCGAGCTCGCTTCCCAGGTTCAGCAGGACCGGCTCAGCAGATCCCTGCTGGGGCTGAGCAGCCACGGCCGAATAGAGAAAKAAATAATAAGTAATAGAGAAACAAGCAATGCTCGTCCTCAAACGTGTATAATCCAAAGCCAGAGAGCACCAGACTCTGAGCTGTGCTGAGCAGGGCTAAGAAAGTCTCTCTGGAGGTGGCGCCTGGAGGTGGTGCAGGTTCACATG